AGGATATTCGGGACGCTTTGGAAGTTTCTAACCGCAAAGAAAAAACTTATACTACCGAAGAGTTAGAAAAAAAACTCGGGATTTAAATGTATAAAGTAATTTGAAAACATACTGCTTCTAAACAATTAGCTAAAATTGACCGAACCATTGCCAAGAAAATCAAAGACAAAGTTAAAAATTACTTAGCCAAGGATCCGATTAATAGAGGTGAGCGACTACTTTATGAATATAAGGGCTTTTATCGTTATCGTTTTGAGGACTACCGAGTTATTTATGAAGTAAAGCAATCTGAACTTTTAGTGGTGGTAGTAAAAGTAGGGCACCGGAGAGAAGTTTATTAATGCCAAAAGTAAGGGACTAAATATTTCTCATTATCCCCTTAATTTTGCGGGTTTTTATTCTGATAAGAAAGTTGGTAGTGGTTATGGAGAGAGGGAAGGTGCTTTACGGAAAAAGTTATTTATCCCATTAAGCAAAAAATAGCCAATATTAGCCTTAACCGTTTATATTTGTTAAATAAGTTTGGACATGACCGTTATTTTACTGATTATCCCCAAGGAGATTATTATTATTTAGATATTAGTTTTGCGAGAATGATAGAAACTTGCTCGCATGAATTAGCCCATTACTTCCAATTTGTTAAATATGGCGAGAGTAGTTGTGAAAGTGATTTAATTTTGCGGAATAGAAGTTATGACCAGGGATTAGCCCAAGAACATAAAGAATTTACGCAAGAGATTTATCAAATGATTAAGAATTCAGAGGAATATTTGGAATGAGAGGGGAGGTGAAAGGGAATTGCTAATAATTAGGTTGGGACTTAATTATTAGGGGGAACCCGAGGAGACTCCCCTTTTTATAATTTTTTCCTCTGAACTCTGAAAACTTATTTTTTAACCCTTTTCCTTTAATTCCTTGGCAGGGTAATCAATAGAGTTTGATAAGTTATAAAGTTGAATTTCTTTTCTTTCCTCACATGTTAAATAATACCCATCTAATTAGCAATTAGACGGGGAATTGGAACATTAAGGGGAAAAGTTTCTTAACTTCCCCCCTACTCAATTTTCAACAATTAACCCTTATCGGACACCACTAGGCTACATAATTTTACAAGGAGGAGAAGGAGGTCTTTTATATTCAACAGAAGAGACAGTTTGTATGGGTTTAGTGCAAATATTTACACATTCGTGCGAACTAGATTGAACCATTCGAACTTGCCTATTTGGTCTTTCAATCCTTTCCCTATACGAATAATTACCATCTCTATCATATTCCAAAGTTTCAGTATTGTATTCACCTCTACCACAGGCATGTGACTGATAACTAATCTTGCTTCTCTTTCCTTCCTCCACTTCTCTAATAGATTTCTTAACTTCCTCCCTATTTAAATAGGAAAAATTGGGAAGCCTATCGGCTCTTGATACTAATTCATATTTATCACACCTTCAACACTTATCATTAGAATAATCCTTATAATTATCTAAATGTTCAGCTCACGATTTTCTTAATGCCTTACAATTATTACAGTATTTCATATATGTATCTACTTTTTTTTATTTTTATTTATTTTTTTTCAAACGACTAAAAAGCCAATAATAATTAATACTCCCAACCCAAAAACCATCACTATTGACGATTTAGGGAGGGAATTGTCGGGACCTCTATTTTACATTCCGTTTCAGTTGAATTAGTTAAAAGTTGACCGCAGTCTCCACAAAAATTAGTGCTTAAAGGAAGCTTTTTGTCATACTTACAATTCGAACAGTGCTTTTTTATCTCTGAACTTGTGTTTCCGGAAACAGGAACATTGGCATTATCGCTCTGAGCAGGATTATTAGAAAAATAACTTTCCTCTTTATCTACCAATCCATCTTTATCAAATTTCCACGAAGAACGGTAAACGCCACTAGACAAATCCACTTCTTTTTTTCGTTTTTCAAACTCAATTCTTAACTTATCCCTATCTTTTAAATTTAAGTAACGTTTAAAAGAAGCACCAGGCTTAGTTGTCTGATAGTAATCAAGTCATTCATCAACAAATTTCTCCACTACAAACTTCATTTTCTCACCATCAGCAGGTCCATTAATAGTTTCCTCTCCTACTTCAATTTCTCTAAAACCTTTTAAATTTCCCCAGTCAACTTTTGCTAAATCATTTGCTAGCCTTTCCGAACAAACAACATAATGCTTTTTTCTTGACCTTCCAGAAACCTCATCATAAGTGTAATAATCAGAACCTTCTTGAAAACTTTGAAGTCTATTTTCCAAGGTGGTGCTAAATTCACTTACACCACCCGTCATTATACCGAATTTTTTCATAACCTTTTCTTATTTTGTTGGACCTGTATATTTTGATCCTATTCTTGAATAAGTAGTGCCATCAGCTTTTGTGCCTTCTTCCTCATAGTATTCATAGGTGCCTCCTTTTTCCGCTACTTGCCTTCTGTTTTGGTCGATTTGTGTATTTATTTCGGCTTTCTTGGCTACTGTGCCAAACATGTTTCCGCAAGTCGGGCAATATTTAGTGCTAGAATCAACCTCTTTATTCTCAATACAATGAGAACATCATTTCCTCATATTTGGACTATCAACACCATCAATACCAGGTCCATAACTAGGATTATTTGTCGTAACCCGTAAACTTTGATAATCACCACCTCATTTTCTAGTTACCTTGGCTCTAGCAGCGGGAGATAATTTAGAAGTTTTAACTTCATAATTCTTTAATTCTTGGACTAATTCAACGGGTTTTTTATTTTCGATTAAATACTGATTTTTTACCATATTTTTATAATTATTACTTATTTTCTTATATTTATTATTATTATTTGTTAGATTTTTGCTAATTTTTTTTAAACAGTCTAGCCTCTGTTTTTTTAATACTCTGATAATCTGGTAAGCAATAACTTACTAGGAATTAGGAGAATATTCTTTACCCAATTTTACTTCCAGGAAAGCCGCTGGTCTAGGCTCTTGCTTTTTTTAGTAAAAGTCTTGGCTAGTGCGAAAGGGAGAAGTTATTTTTTAG